GGCAGGCAGAAAGGTACTGTTCTTGAACCTTGCCTGTATGCTTTCACTGGACAATATTTGTTGACCTGCCAAGGCTGTATTTGTGGCTGAACGATTGTTGAGACACTCTGCCCTCCGTAGGCTTCCCAGAGTAGGTGACACAAATAAAACAGAGGCTGGTAGTACAGTGTCATAAGCCAACAACAGAGACTGGTCGAGAGTGTTTCCAGGCCAGCTTAGCCTGGGAGGATGAGGAGAAAAGGGGGCCTTGGAAAGCATCCTGAGTTGGCTCCTAAAAGGTAAGCAGGAGAGCATCAATTTTCTCTCACTGCATAACACGTTGCCACAAATGTAACAGCTTCCTACACCTGTTAATTATAATCATCACACATTTTCTGGAAGTCCTGTGGCTCTAGTGGGTTCTCTGCTCAGTCTCAGGGTGCCTTCCATGGTGGCCTGGCTGAGGTCCATTGGGAGCTCAGCATCCTCATCTGGTCGTTTGCTGTTGTTGGCAGACTCAGTCCCTTGTGGCTGTAGGAATGAGGGCCCTGCTATGAGGCTGTGTCAGCAGTGAGGGGCCGTGACAATTCCCCCCAGGTCCCCACATTGTGCAGTGACCACGTCCTCAAGGTCAGCGAGAGAACCCCTTGCTCCATAAACTGAGACAGAGCCATGCATTGCTGTGCAAACAGGAGTTCCCATCCTAACCCTTCCCTGTATGACCCAGGCTATGCACTGGCTCCCCCCACTCAGAGGTGGGACTCTGGGGTCATCCTAGAGCTCTGTCACCATGGGGTGACTGAGCCATGGTGTGGGTGCAGGAGCTGCATCATGAGTCAGGGGACTGTTGTACCAAGCAAGCCGGTAAATCACCAAACACTGGGAAAAAAGACAAAGTTAAAACTGAAAGGAGTTTATTCACGCACGTGGACTCCACCCTCTAATAGGAGTGAAGCGCCGAGTCTGGGAACAGCACAGCTTTTACAGGTTGTTATATAACAGCACAGCTTTTATAGGTTGTTATTTAAAGAAGTTCAAAGGGGGGTCAACATGGTGCAAAAGTATTTTTCACAACTCAGCTATCTTGCTATCTTGTCAGGTTAGGACATTTTGTGGTTAGAGGGAGGCACCAGGCACCAACCGTTTCCAAGAAGCGATGAAGCAAGTTTACAGAAGCAGAACCAGCAGTTACAAAAACATCTACTTTATAAGGGGAGGGGTGCATACTGGCTGCAGCGAGCAAGGCCATGGTGGTGGGACCACCCAAGCCCCCTGGAGCTCACATCTCCCTGCCATGTGCTCTGCAGGTCCTGTGTGGAGCTGCAGGAATTAGTGTTTGCCCAGGTGGTTTCAGACTTGGTTTGGTCCTATTCTTTTCTAGTCACCTATTCCTCCCTTGTGGAATGGAAATGTTTATCCAGAACCATCGTATCTTGGGATAATGTAATTTGTTTTCCATTTTACAGAGGTTCACAGCTAAGAATGTGCTTTGAGTCATAGAAGAAACTTTTACTTGGGCATTTTAGCAATTCTGATACTGATGAGACTTTGGAGAAAGGGCTTTTTGAAAATTAGGGGCCGGGGATTTAGCTCAGTGGTTTTGCCACCTGCTGTGCAATTGCAAGGACCTGAGTTCGATCCCCCATACCACAAAAAAATAATTTATTAGTGTATGTTTGTAGTACATCATAGTTACTTTGGGGGGGAATTGATATATTTTATAGTACATCTTGATCATTTTCAATCCTTTTACCCTGTTATGGTTGTATGTGGGACAGTTGTATCACATTAGAATTATTGTGTTTATTTGGAGATTAAACATAGTTTAAGGAGATGTTTTGAGTATCAAATTGACAAGGGTGAGATGTGATAGTTAAAGTGGATTTTTACTTTGGTTTGGAAGCACTGAGAGGATTGCCATGTATGCTTTTGGCTGTGTCTGAGTTGGGCATAGAGGTGTGGCCTTGGGGTCTGTGTCTGGTCCCTGGCTCCTTCCTCTCTGGTGCTGTTCCCCTGCTCTGCTTCCAGGTAGCCGGGGACAAGGCAGCATTACCATGCCCTACCCTTCTGTCATGATGTCCCTGCCCTGAAGCCAGCTGACCATAGACTGAAACCTCTGAGACCACGAGCCAAATAAACGATTTCCTCCTTTAAGTTGTGGATGTTGGGTATTTGACCATAGCAAAGGAACAGCTGACTAGTAGGGGAATTTAACATGTAATGCAGAGATCTTAGACTGGTCGGAGAAGGAGAATATTAGCAAATGGTGTCAGGATAAGTTAGTAGCTGCCTGGGCAAAGGTATTGTGTCTTTCCTTCATATCCTGGCCTAGCACAGATTCTAGATATCAAAAATTTAAATGTAAGACAATTATAAACACAGTGGTCATAAACAAACGGGAAGGTTTTTATAGTCTGGTTGTGAAGACTTTTATAGCATTTACTTGGACCTATAAGTCATAAAAGATAAGCTTGGTAATTTCATTTCTTAAAACAAACAGCAAATATTCTACACATTAAAAAATACTACAAGCAAAATGAGATAACTGACAAGCTGGAGAAAACAAAGTAATGCATATCACATGACAAAGGACTAATCTTCCTAATTTATAAAGACCAAAAGATGGCCAGTCATTCTAAAAGAAAAATGGGCCAAGGATAAAAAGAGATATTTTACAGAAAAGAAAATACAAATGATCTTTAAATATATAATGTGACCTTCAGCCTTTTCATGATAAAACAAACGCAAATGGCAACTACAATGAGATCTCATTTTTTACCCATCATGTTGTAAAAAATCTGAACATTTAACGATGCACCCCTTTGGCTATACCAGGCTGCTATGGGAAGACAGGTACCAATCAGGCCTGGGGTCCCAGAAGTGGCTTCAGAGGAGGGCTGAACTTGGCAGCATCTGGCAGCATGAAGATGTGTGTCTCCTTGACCCAGCAGTCACTTTGTGAAGTCACTCTGCAGATAACCTTGTGGGTGCACAGAGCAATGCTTGTGCACTTTCTACTGCAGCATTGTATGGTTGCAAAAGAAACCCCCAAAAGATTGGTAGCAGCATAAACACCCATGAATGAGTGACCAAATGAATAAATCAGGGCATAGCCATTCACTGTAATACTGTGTGGTTATGATAAAACAATGAAGACGCACTTTATAAACTTAACTATTAGGGGTAGTTCTCTGAGATGCTTCAGTTAGAAATGATATGAAGAAAACAGTATTGTGGTATGTTACCTTTTGCATGGAAGAGGAAGAAAATGAGAATGTATATGCCTCCTTCTTTGTATTTTTATGGTGGAAACTTTGCAAGGATATATTATATATAGTTGACTTTTTTTTTGGTATACTGGGGATTGAACTCAGAACCTTGCACTTTCAAGGCAGGCATGGCACCACTGAGCTACATCCTTGGGCCTAGGCTATATTATACATGACTGTGGTTCCTGTGTAGGAATGTTGTGACTTGGCCAGATGGGAGGGGCAGGTAGGAAGTTTTCACTGTCTCTCTCTCTCCATCTCAAATGTATATTGTCTGTGTATATATCATTATATCTTGAACCAAATGAACTAAAACAAAAAACCCAAATAATAAATTATTTATATAGAAAGATACCCTATGAAAGCATGTCAAGGAGTCTGTCACAATCAGTTATATATGACTGCATAAGCAGTGTGCAGCCTGATGCAGCCTTGCTGAAACTCACTTATGTGCTCAGCTCATGGATTTGTCAGCTTTCCTTTGCTGTGAAAAAATACCTGAGACAAATGACTTAAAGCAAGAAAATACTTCCTCTGGGTCAGAGTTCTCAGTCCAGGCTTGGTTGGCTGCATTGTTTTGGGGCCCATGGCATGGCAGAACATCATGACCTGGGCAGAAAAGAGAGACAGGAGAGTTCTGTCCTAATAGCCCTTCAAGAGCACACTCCCCCAATGACATAACTTCCTCCCACTAAGCTCCACCTTTTAAAGGTACACCCCTTCTCAATAGCATTTGTCACATGGCCTTTGGGGGACAATCTAGATCAAAACTATGATCCCCATCAATAAAAAACTTTAATCACACACATATATACGTTATTAGTTAACTTGAAAATTATATGATTTACTACAGTACAAATTATATTTTGTACCTTAAAACTATATACTAAAAAAGAAACCAAAACTTCAAAATGTAAAATGAAATTAATAGTATTTATTTTAACAATTAAAAACTAATATGCTCTCATTAAAATATTAATATCCGTAGTTCTTTTTCTAAAACTTACAATTTTTTAGGTTTTATTTTACTACATATTATAGCTGGGGTGACCAGCCATCCCTGCCTGGCTAAGATTGACAGGTTTCCTCCAATGTGGGAATTCTCAGCGCTTTGACCAGGTCATCCCTGGGCAAACTGAGAAATCTCTGTCATTACAGTTTAAAGAAATACATCCCAAATATGTATAAGAGTAAAGTGAAGAAATAATTATTGGCTGAGCCTACTAAATCATAAAACTAAATTCTCAGCATCAGTCACTCATTATGCAAAGGTTTCTGGGTAACTCAGCTACTCAATTTTCATCTTCACTGATGAGGGTTATGTACTGCTGGAAAGCAATCAAATGTATTGCCTCTGTATTCCACAATGTATTCAAAATATTACACAATCAAGTGTGAAGAGATTTCAGATAGGCTGTAAACAAAAGTAGTGTGGGGAGCTGGGGTGGCATGGGGAGTAAGCCTTTAGGGGTCGCAGGGACACCTGTGTCTTCTCCAAGTGAACTGCTGCAGAAGCCTGCTTTCTCTTGCACTCTAGCTAGTGACCAATCAAGACCATAATAAAGGACTCCTTCCATGTCCACAGGATCCCTGTGCCTTGCTGGGCACCCTTTGAGAAGGTTCTGGCTACTGGGTGCTGTCCCTCAGTCACAGGCATCTTCAGACTCTGCTTCCTACAAACAGAAATGGTAGTTTTGAGTGTTTCAAGCAGTTATCCAGAAATGGGGTCTACACCATATTTCTGTCTTCCAGGAGCAAGGTGAAGAAGAAGAGAAGCCCTGGGATCATGCGAATCTTCTGAGTGCTGGTAATTATCACCTTACACTACAGTTTTAGTGTACAGGGAATGACTTTTAAGTGCAGTTACTTTAATTATTTCAGGTTTTAAAATTTCAGTATATAATAATGTTTCTCCCATTTACCTGTGGTGTGTTACGTACTCTTCTATAGACTTTAATCAATGTCATCAAAGATTTTCAAGTATATACATGAAGGAAAGTCTGAAGCTGTTCTTGTGTCATTTATCTGCCTTTAAAAATAAGTTCCAAGGAAAATAACTCCTGGTTTGTCAACTTTCTCTGAGAATAAAAAAGTAAGAGATACTATTTAGTTTATTCTAATGCCTTGTTTAAGCTTTTCCCAGCTTGGCTTATTTTTCTAATGATTATATTTGCATTCTTCTCTTAATAAAATGAACATCTCTCATTATGGTTATTAATTCAGCAATAGGTTTTAGATAATAGTCTCTTAGTATTCAAGTAATTCTCTGATGCTTTGAATTTTAATCAACAAATGCAGATGCTATCTCCTTGCAATAAAATCCACAAAGTTTGTGATTGTTGCTATAGAAGTAGACCACTGTGTAGTCACATGTCCAGCACATTGGGACTGTCCTCAATGGGAAGGAGGTATACAGCTTTGATAATGCTTCTCTTATAAATTTTGGAAGTACTTTAGATATTTGTCAAATAAGTTTTTTAAAAATAAATCTAAAAATATCTTGAAAAAAATGACAAACCAGAATTGAGATCTTAAAGACCATTTTCTATTACTTAGTCCTGGTCCACAGTATGGAAAATTTGCAAACTTCTGCTTGTATGACTTTTAAAACAAAAACTGCAATTAAAATCAGATACCATGTGTTGCTTTAAATTTCTTTTCTTCTCTTGCTGCCACCCCAGTCCTGTCATGTTCTTTGTTGAAAAGCAAAATAGGCTGCGGTAGTTAGATAATTATGTAACTTGATGTTCATCTCCATTAAAATGCACTTCAGTTATGCAACCCTGGAATCTTAGAAATAAATTTGGACTGTACCTGGCCCTCTCAGCAGGATATTTTTTTAAACAGTTTTTTCTTCTCAGAGAGAGGTTGTGATTTATGGTGTTGTTGTTTCCCCCCGAAGCTACATTTTCACACCAATGTAGATTGTTTTAGATTCTTTCATTCTGTAAGCATTCACTCTAGGAATAGGAAGGCAGACTCAGACCAACAATTAAAAATGTTCATTTCCCCCCAAACTAAGGTGACAGAATCATAGCATCTGTGGCTCCATGATAGCCAGGTATCTGTTTACCGTAATAGTTTTTCAGTTTTAAGAGACAGTAATTTTTTGCTGCTGTTCATCCATTGGGGGACTGGCTTTATAGTTAATGGCTCATTCATAAAAGTTTCATGCTGCGGTTTATGGTGTTCTTATTGTTTTTGTTTTTCCCAGCAATAGACTATAACTAAATGTTTAGAAAAAGCAGACGATTTGACTTGTGTATATGGGCACTACACTCTGCTAGTTGTATTGAAGATTAGATTATTTGGGGACTTTCTGAGTTAACTTACATTTATACAACTTCTAACGTGATATAGAAGTATTTCCCCCAATTTCCTTTCTTATTACAATGATATTTTTCTCCTGCGGTGTGGAGAAATGGTTTAAAATTTTTCTTTAGATTGCTTACAAAACAAGAGATATTTGGTCACTTAGTTCATATCTTAAAAAAAAAATACCAAAAGAAAAAGAGAAACCGTGTCTACACATAAATATGTACTTATAGGTGAGTAGAAAATTGTACTAAAAGTAAACATTTGGTTCTTAGTAGTTATTTTATAGCCAGTATGTGTTTCTTTGGCCATTGTTTAAAAAATGATTCATGGCAAGCCAATCTGAGCTATGACCTTTGCAGCTCGAGTTACAGTGTGGAGGCCTTGAGGAGCATTTGACTAATTTAGAGAAAATTAATTTATTAGCAGTGCATCCAGTACTTGAACCCACACCCAGCGAGCCCCAGAGGCTGTGCTCTTTCTGCATCAGCGTTTTCCCTACTTTGTAGCTATTCAGAACAAGAGAGGAAACTGGAGAAATGTGAGGACAGTAGGTGCTGGTGACTGAAGTATTATCTATTGGAGCCCAGCATCGCTCTCAGAGTCCTTGGGGCCGAACTAGCTGAACTAGATTTTCCTTGGCATGGTTAAGATTTGAGATTAATTTTTTTGGTTCTTTTGGAAACTTTAAGCTAAAATTATTTCTAATAATTCCAAACTTTAACAATCGTCTTAGCTATTTCTTAGAGCTTGTCTCAGTAATAATTTATCAATAAATATGTGTGATTGAAGTCAGAGAATTAGTATTGCCAATCATTATGTAATCCCAGACTCGCATGCTTTTACGTTTGAAGTCTCTAAAATAACAGCACCTGATTACTTCAGTTGCACAAACGATCTGGCTTTTCCTGTTCTGAATTTATTAGGTGCCCTTTTCAGGTAATATTAATACTTGTTTAATTGAATGTTGGGAGAGTGAACATTTTATAAAAACAAAAACAGTGTAAGAAATTATAAATTAGATGTATGCACATCCAGTTAAACTTCATATATTAAATAAAATCATTATCAATAAAATTTAAAAATAGAAAGCTATGAAATATTCACCACAGCTGTAACTGACATAATAAATAAATAATAAAGAAAGAAATTAAATAAAATTGTCAGATACACCAAAATCTGAGTCCAAAACCAAGTGAAGGCATAAACAGGTATTTCAAAGGGAATTGTTTAAAATAAATGTATTAAAAATATTCAATCTCACTAGAATGTAAAGAAATACAAACTTCAAAGTAGTCATGATATGTTTTGATCTACAAGTTGACAGTAATTAAAGTAACTGCCAATTCTCCTTGCTGGTGAGGTGGGAAAGATTGAGTCTTACTTCACCGTTACCAAGAGCAGAAGGTGCCTCTGTCACTGGAGATGGATTGATAGTATTTACAACAGAGTTCTGTAAACATTTTCTTCATCTTAGGAACTCATTCTTTTGAGATTTCTCTCAGTGAAATAAACATATGCATTCAATCTATACATATTGGTCATTGTGGCACTATTTATGAGTGGTAAAAAGTGGGGAATACTCTAAATGTTCAACAAAGTTACCATACAGGGAAAACCCTGTGACATGGCTGTGTGTAGTCAATTATGTCGCTTCAGTGCTTTTGAAGAAATTTGAGTTACAGGAGAGGAAAAGCTTATGGTGACATATTAAGAGGGCAAAAAAATAGATTAGTCTAGATGCTGGCTACAAATAAATCATGTATGTAGAGAAGAAAAATATTAATGATCACTATTTTACATTGTGAGATAAAAAATACCTTTTCCGTGTATTTTTTGCAATTAGTTTGTAATCAAGTTACAACTAGCCAGATATTATTGAAAATAAATTCAGAAACTCCTGAGCACTAAATACCTTAATTCGTGACACAGAGTAGCGTTGGAATATCTGTTATTAGAATTTGCTTTTGTAAATAAACTTTTACTATGGAATAGTTTTCGATGTACAGAAAAGCTGCAGCACAGTATAGAGAGTGCCCTGTGCAGCCCTCTCTCAGTTGGCCCTGCGCATAACATCTCATGTGGTCATGGCCCCTTGTCAGAACCAAGAAATTGACACGGGTACATCGCTGTCCACCAAACCATAGACTGTATTCAGATAACACCAGTTTTTCTTTATGTTTTTTACTAACGTCCTTTTTCTGTTTGAAGATTCAGCCCAGAGTGTTGCTTCCCACACATACAGCACTGCGTGTGAATTTCTTGGACCGGATGTTACAGGAGCCGCCAGCGTTCTGACTTGCTTGTCCGCTGTGGTGTTTTCTCACCTGGGAGCCCCTCTCCTGGCATCTGACCCTTTCCTATCTGCACTTATCCGTGCACTGAGTGACTCCTGCTGGCTCTCCAGTGCCTCAGGGGATCCCTAGAAGTGTGTTGATGGGACAGAAGTAGGACCTCCTGCATGGATGCACACTTCCATGCTCTCATTTTTCTCCCTTTTGCTGTTTCTCTTAGACATGAAAGCGAAGCTCCTCCTGTTGCCCAGTGTGCAGCTCTCTCTCAGGTCCCTCACCTTGCAGCGCCATGGTGCCCCTGTCCTGGAGATTCTGCCCCTCCCTCTCACTCCCTCAACCCCAGCAGTGGCTACTTTTTCTTCGTTGGTCCTGCTATCCCTCAGACGATAATGTCTCCCAACTTAGACAGGGCAGCTCTTGGGCACTCCTTTCTGCTCTTCTCCCAGTGAGACTTGGCTGAGGCTCCGTAAACGCAGCACCTCATCTTCTTTAGACATCAGGACCTGGCACGTGGCTGTTGCCCACAGGCAATTCCCACCCCGCTCTGCTCCAGCTGCCAGATCCTGTAGTCTGGAACTCAACTCTGAAGAATCTCTTTCTTTGCCTGGAGGGTCTTTCTTGCAGCTGGCTCCTTCAGAACCTCATTATCTTCTCTACTTTCCTTATTTTTATGTTTTTTCCCCTCCCTGTTCTATTTTTTCTCAGCATATCCTAGGCATTTGCTTTTCATAAAATCCAGTTATGTAATAGGCTGTATCTTCCATGTAAGTTAGGTATCTTTTCAAAAGGCATACGATCAGGTCCAGTCAGGACAGTAAGGTCTATTGTTCTGTATTATTACTAAGGTAGTAATTTACTGAAGCTCTGAAGTATTAATTAACTAAATGGCCTGGAAAAAAATTAACACTACTTTTAAGTGTTTAACTTAACTTTCAAGGAGCCCTTGTGGTGCTGGGATTGTGGCTTATTATGCAATTCTAATAGCTTCAGAGATAGACCTGGAATACTATCATGTGGTCTTTTATTAGGTTAGCTAGCTTAGTTCCAGAGTGTAAGGACAGCAGTTCTTGCTTGCAGCGTAATTATTTGTCAGTGGAGCTGATTGTTCACGTTTGTTGAGCTTTGTGAGAAGTCTGGTTCATTCCACTGAGGCAATTCTGTACCCTAGCATGGATATCTACACCAGAAAGGGGAAACCAAACCCATTTCACTTACTCCATTCCTGGCAGTACAGATGGCCTTAGAGTCATTAAATGAACAGTTGGACATTTGGGTATTTGGCTACTCTGAACCTAAAGAATTACGTTTCCACTAAGCCATGAAGCCATCACTGGAGGGTAAACGGGAATTCTTTCTAAGTAATGAAGTCTTTGTAAGAGCACTCTAATAACTGCAGCATTCAACACACACTTCATGACACTGCTGCTCTGTAGTAAACAGTATCTGGGACATATTCTCAAGTCACTTATTTGCCCTTGATACTGGCTTATGACTGAGCTAATCTTTGAACCTAACTGGTTCAGTTACCAAACCTCCCACACCATTCCGCCACTTCCAGGAGAGTAAGTGGGGTGCTACATAGGAACACTCACAGAGGAAGAAGGTCCCTCTGCGTCCTCCTCCAGGCAGCCGGCAGCTGATCGAGAATGAAAACTGGACAGAGAGGAAGGAAAGACAGGGCAAAGCCCTCTGTTCGTGAGGCCTGTTTAGGAAGACCGTTTTTCCAGGCCGTGTACAAGTCTTTAATATGTGAAAGGACAGGTGATATTAAAGTTTTCCTTCACTGAAGGTCTTCTGGTGATGCCTGGGGATCATGCGAGTCCTTGAGCCATCCCACAGAGGAACCCTGTCAAGGCAGCAGGAAGTGTGTGCTACACCTGTGATCAGGGGTCCTGTACATACAGAGCACTGAACCGTGGACAGGGGGCTGCATCCTCCGTACCCGGAGGGAGTTCACAGCAGGAACTGTCACAGAGTGGTTTCCATGGAGACCCTTGCGAGGTCTCAGAGCCCTGGGCAGGGTGAGGTGGCGGTCAGCTCTCCGTGTTCCCTTCCGCAGGTCTCACCCATTCCTCTCGAAGGCTGACTGGAAGCGTCCTTCCCTCTAACGTGCTTTGCTCTTTCAAAGTATGTTTAATTTTTGTTGGAATAATTAACTTTTGTCACCGAGTTGAAAGCTGTGACTTCGGGGTCATTTCAGTGTTCGTTCAGACCTATACTGTTTACACAAGAGGCGAGCATTTGGGCTGCAGGTTTACTTGCTGCCATGCCTATTTTAAATGATTGCGTCGGGTCCCTGTGCTTTCTTAGCACTTACAGTGGACACACTCATCTGTTTTTAAACATACATTTTTTGAAGTTTGAAACTATGTCATCAAACTCATAAAAATGTTGTAAGAACAGTACAAGGACTTTTTCCCTCTGAGTTAGAGGGTGTGATGTGGACTTCATGCTCTGCCTGGCTGCAGTTCAACCAGTTTCGCAGGCAGCTCAGCCTGGGTTGGCCCCAGCAGCCACGCTGCCTTGGGGCAGCACTGAGGTTTGACGAGAATCCAGGCATGTCCCGCTGCGACAGGGTTTTCTGGGGATGTGTTCCCAGTAGCTGCGTCACCTCGATGTCCTCAGGCTGGAATCCTTCCTCATCCTTTCCGGACAGTCACCACCAGGACACTCTTGAATGTCACAGGCCAGTTACTTTGCAGAATGTTTCTCCTTTTGGATTCGTCGGATGTTATGACTACATTCAGGTCATGTACATTTGGAGAAATAGCCCAGAGCAATGCTTTTTATCCTCACTGCATCTGTATGGCCATGATTTTGATTTGCCCCAATTTTGATGATAGCTCTGATCTCTTGATGGAGATAACATCAGGTTTTCTACTTTGAATTTATAATTTTTTTTCCTTTGGATACCATATGTGTTTTATAGGGAGGTCATCCAAAACTATCATTTTTCTATTTTTCAGGAACTTTCTATTTATTTGCAGATGGAATCATGGCTCCTTCCTTTATTCAGAGGATTGGCATGCAGTTCCATCATCATTCTGATGCTCACTTCGTCCTCAGTTTGGCCAGTGGGGCCCGGGTCCTGGTTTGGTGTCTTTTTGATGTGTCTCTGTGGTTGTTCTGAGCACTTCCCTACTTTCTGCCCCCAGATGTTCTAGGCTTTGTTTTCTCCCTGAATCGGTCACTTCTGCAGAAAGTTCTGGCTCCTTCTTGTGGCAGGGGCCAAGTGTGTTCATTGTTCTTAGAGTGTTGTTGCCCCTGGGCCCTCTCAGTCTGCAGAGCTAAGGAAATCTGTGTGTCTATGCGCCACATGTGTGCACACATTCAAATTTACACACACACACAGAGACGCACTGATGCTTTATACCACTGTTGTTACAGAATCTGTCTCCACAGAGTGAAACCCCTGAGCTCACAGTGCTGCCTCCGAGTCCAGGCTTCTCCCAGAACTCATTCCAGTTTTCCCTCCTTACATATTTGCATCCCAGTCTTAACATGAAGCCTGGCCCCCTCATCCATGGTGAATTTGCTCAACAGGCTGGTGCCTCTGTGGCACCTCCATCCGCTCAGTGCGGCCCTCTGCCCGGGTGCATGGTGACCTCACCCGAAACGTCCCTGCAGCTGCCCTCTCCTTGCCCTGGAGCCCCTCACTGGGCTTTGATGCTCCCCAACATGTGGCCCACAGGAGCCTCTCTTTGCACCCTGAGGCGGCTCTGAGTCCCCCAGGGAGAACAGAAGCCAACCGGGCATGCTGGTAGAAGAAAGGACAAATCTAGTGGTGTGGTGTCCATATGCTCCTGTGGCATCTCCAGCTTTCTGCTCCTCCTTCTGGGTGAGGTTCTGGGCTGCACACCTCGTGGGCCCCCTCTCCTTCCACCTCAGGCCTGGCTCATGCAGGCATCCTCTCCCAGTGCCCGCCTCTCACACCTGCATGTGGACAGAAAGCCCAGTGTCATGTCCTGACTTTCCCAAGGCAGGGCCTGGGTGGGCTGTCAGCTGTGGCAGCTGTCCTTCCTGTGTTGAGTCCAGGGCAGGGGCTTGGTTTGACACCAGGACCTCCAGAGAGTGCTGTGGATTTCCCTTCAAAGCCAAAGGGACGTAGTGGTTGGGGGTGCTTCACGGAAATCGCCATTGCCAGGTTGAAGCACAAGGCTCTGCTTGTACGGGAGCTAATCTAATAGAATAGATGAATTCCTTAGAAATTCACTTAGAAATGAATGTACAAGGCTAGGGTCTTATTTTTCTTCAGATTTTCACACGTATAATTGAATGCTATTTAAAAAGCACTTTCTTCATGTCTAATTCACAATTAAAATATTGTACCTAGGCAGCATATAGGAATGTTCAGATCAGTGTATGGAAGATAGATAGAGGGAGAGATGCACATATGAGGTGATCAAGGAATATCTTGTTTACATTTTTAAAAACTGTCGTAACGAAAGGCAGAGTGCCGTCAGTCCCCCGTAATACTCCTTTGCACTTCGAGCACACCCACCCTGTCATTCTTGCCACTTTCTGCAGCAGCCTCCCTCTTTCTGGGAGCCTCTTTCAGGAGTGTTTTTTACGAGGTGTTATAAACCTAGGGTGAAGACCGCTGCCGAGCGCCACCCAACAGAAAGGCAAGTTCATAAAAACATGACACTGTGTCCTCTTCCACTGTATTCACCACATCTGGCACAGTGTACTCCCAGCTCTTCCCCAAAGTCAAAATGACCATGCAAAGGAAACGTTTTGAATCAACTCAGGATGCTGAGGCAGCCGGACAGTGTCACTACAGGTCCTCACACAAGAGGACTTCCAGGACTGCTTTAGAAAGTGGAGAAAACCATGGGATAAATGTGCTTGAAGTGAGAGGAAGCATTCATGACAATATACCTTTTACTGTGTATTTAAATTTTTTAAAAATATTCACCACATTTTTCGGTCACACCTCGCAGATAGCTCACCTGGACTTTGAGGTTCAGTCAGCACTCGGCATCCTTAGCCAGGTAAATGTTATTTCTGCAAGTTCAAACCTTTATTCTTTCTGAAGAATGACTTCTTTTGATATTTGAAAGTGAGCTTAGAATCAAAGAGAACTTGTTCTGAATTTTGGCTTTGAATTTTGGTGGTGTTACTTCTAACAACGTATTCACCTTTTTAAACCTCAATTTTCTTTCTGGTGAATGGGAGTAATAGATAATATTGCCCCATAACTTTCTCAGAATAAAATAAGAAAAGTTTTATAATGTGATAGACTCTTACACTCAATAAATGGTATTTTTTTCTTGAATGGCTTAAACAGGAAGTTTACGTATCCATTTTTCCTACCTGTTAGAGTCTTTTTGGTACAGGTGATCGTATTTTGCTTTGGAGGTTCCTGGAGGAGGGTTTTGAAGACCACTGGAGAATTAACCCAAGGTGCAGCATTTTCTTGATTCCCTCTACCCTTGTGTTTTGCAGGGGAGGAGGGGTAAAAAGACCCCCAGCTTGGGCCTGCAGACTCTCACTGCTGTATCCTCCCTCACATCCCTGTTCCTCACCAGCCTTGCCATGTGGCCTCTTTGGGAGCAGCTGGGTGTGGAAAACACCTTTCTGGAAAATCGTAAGTGGACATTGGGTCCCGCTGCTGCCGGTGCTTGGTGTCTGCTCTGATGAAACAAAGAGCATGAGGCAGAGGACAGGGCCGTGGACTTGGAGCTTAGCAAGGTGGGCAGATTGGAAAGGTGTCCAAGTGTAGGGTTATAAAACACACAGCCTCCTGGGAAGCTGCAGAAGAGTGCTGCTAGTCTTTGGGCTGGAAGCGATCTCTTGTGCTCGGTGTAAAGGCCCTGTCCTGGAGGTCTCAGAGGGTGAGCGTGCCCTGAGTTCAGTGGCGTGCGGGGCCGTGGGGACATCTGGATGCCTTCTTCCCTTCCTTCCCCGGCAGTCTGTGCTCAAGGGCTCTTGCTTCTGCTTCAGGAACATGCTGGGGGCAGTCTGTTTGGGCTCCTCTTTCCTGAGGCACCAGATTGTCCGCCCTGGCTGATTTCCCACTGACTTGTTGTGATCTCCGCAGAGCATAGGGCTGATCCCGTCAGTGTCCCTAACCTTTGCTTTGCTTAAAACCTTCCATCCGAATCCCATTGTCCATATATGGAACAGGACACGGGCGGGGTGGGGATTCCTTCCTAAGGCCTCCAAGCCCCAGCGAGTCTGCCCTTCCCTGCCTCCTCGGCCTCCCACAGGGGTTTGCCCACTCCTCCCTCATGCTCGTCCAAGGGCCCTGTTCCTGCTGTCCTTTCTGCCCAGTGTCCTCCTCTCTCTCTCCATGTCTTCCTGTGACCTAATTATAGGTACTCATGTTGCTAAAGGTATTCGATTCAGTGCTTCTTTTTAGGAAAGTTTCCTGATCCCCTGGACCCGGTACTCTGGCCTCTACACTCTATGAATACCCATGATATATACCCTTGGGTTGCGACTGGCCTGACATACTAACAACTTGGGTTATGACCAGAAGTTTAGTTGTAATTTATGAACAAAGTTTTGAGTTAAGACCCAGATGCCGGCTGCTTGTGCTTCCAGATGGTCTCAGATACAGATTTAACTCTTGAAGATTTCTGGAGGGAACATTACAACATCCTTTCCTGTGTGGGGTTAATTGAGAAATCCCAGGCCGATGTCTCGATGTCTCTCTAAGGACACTGAGATCTGCCTGTGTGTAGGAGAGGGACTCTGAAGGCTGTGGAGAGGAGCCTGAGCCCTCAGTTAACCAACTTGAATTACAACCAGCCCTCAGGAACGAATTGAGTTCATAAGTCAAGGGTCCACTCTAGTTTGTAATCTGATTTTGGATTTTTGGATTCCTCCCCACTAGATTTTGAAGCCTGAGAGGGAGGTTCCACATCTCCTTTTTTCCACTGTTTGTCCATAGGGCCAAGCATGTAGTAGGCCTACTGGTTCCTCTGTAAGTAACCGCAGAATCAGTGGCTGGAGAGAGCAGCTGCCAAGGCTGAAGCTTGGGTTGGGCTCCGAGAACACGTGCTGCAAGTGCTGGGTGTGGCAGCTTGAACCTTTCCACCGGTGAGCTCGAGACTAGAGCTTTGGTCAGCAGAGGCGGCCTCTGTGTGGAAAGGTGACTGGTGATGGGGAGAGGAGAGGTACAAGGGAATCCAGGACATTGATGCATTGCTAAGGGCTGCTGAGATGGGCTTGCTCAAGGCTGACGCTGGGTCTACTCCTGGGATATCCGCAGGATGTTGTGACTTCCATGGATTGGATAGACATCCAGTTGAATAAAATTAGGTTTCGTACACGCTATGACTATTGTTTTAACATTTTGCTATGGGTTGATAAGTATTCTATGTGTAGTTTTCCATTTTCTTTGCACTTTTAATTATTTGTAGTTATCTTCACAGTGTTTAGGATTTTAGGAGAAATTATTTTTCTCCCCTCATTGATGTTATGATTAATTTTTTATGGTAGCAAATCTGAATTCAGTAGTTTGGGATTTAACTTGATAAGGAAGCTGATTTGTTAGATACACTTCACCCCTAACACTCTATGATTATATTCAAAACCATTTTTGGAGAGTTAACATCATAACCTTTGCATACAAAATCAATAAGATCAATAAGATAATAAAGGGCTTTTGCTGTTGTCTATCAAGCTGTTATAAATTAACTCCTTGAATATGACTTCAAAAAGACAGGAAAATATTACCATCACTATGGCTACATTCTCTTAGCTGTTCTGTATTTTGTGCTGTGAACATTGGTTCAAATCTGAGAATTCAACACATACAGTGTGGAAACTATTGACCTAAACTAATTTATTATTTATGGATTCCTTCTTATTTTTCAGACAAATTTGATATAATTATTTGGTCAATTTTCCCAATTATTGAGCTTTTAGAGACTTGTTGATAGTGGGTTTGAACAGTTTATTAAATATCAGTACTACTATACTATTACTCCTGCTCTCCAGTTCTCTTAGTTTCCTGTCACTTCCACAGCCACAGACTTGGTGGAAACTCATCATTGTAGAGCCGGGTAGGTAAGAAGTCTGACAGATGTCTCATGTGGTTTAAGTCAAGGTGAGGGCAGAGCTGCATCCCTTCTAAGGGCTCCAGGTGAGGTGCTGATACTTAGTCTTTCCAGCCTCTGGCAGCCACCTGCATTCCTTGGTTCATGGCCCCTTCCTCTGTCTTCCAGCAAAGTGGAATTTCTCTGCCTCTTGGGTCATATCCCCTGACTACAGCTGGGAAAGTGTTTTCAATTTGCAGCTCAGTGTGTTTACATTGCACCCACCTGTGTCCTCCACACTGGTTGCTCCCTCTCAAGTACTTCAGCTTGGTCACATCTGCAGAATTCCTCTGGCCACAGACTTTCTGAATAGGACTCCAGTAGCACAGAAAACAACAGCAAGAATCAACAATATGGAACTACTTCAAATTAAAAAGTTTCTGCACAGCAAGGGAAACAACCAACATGGAGAGGCAGCCTATGAAATGGGAGAAAACTTGCCAGCTATTCTTCCAACGGAGCATTAAAATCTAGAAAAAAGAAAGAATTCACAAAACTCAAGACCAAGAAAACAAATAGCCCAGCCCATAAATAGGCAAAGGAATTGAACAGAGAATTCTCAAAAACAGAACAAATGCCCAAAAAGTCAATGAAAAAAAAAAACTAGCTTCTTTAGCTCAAATTAGGGAAATGCAAATTGATAGTACATTGAGATTCCCTCCCATGCAAAGAGCCTTTCATCAAGAATAATAAACACAACAAATGCCAGCGAATATGCAGGGGAAAAAGGAAGCTTTTACGCTGCTGGTGGAGATGTAAATTCGTTCAGCCACTATGGAAATCAGTATGGAGGCCTCTTAAAAACTAAATATAGAATCACCACCGGACCCAGCTATGCCTCTCTTTGATGTATACCTGAAGGAATTAAAGTCAGCAGACTCTGGGAACTCCTGCACAGCTATGTTATTAAGTCACAATAGCCAAGACATGGAATCAGCCTAGGTTCCCATCCATGGATGATGGATAAAGAAAATGTGGTACAAGTACATAGTGGATTATTATTCAGTTATAAAAAGAACAAAATTGTGTCATTTACAGGAAAATGCATGGAACTGGAAATTATGATGTTAAAATAAGCTGGACTCAGAAAGACAAGCATCACATGTGTTTCTTTTCATGTTGAATCTAAAAAACATGACGTGAAAGTAGAAGGGAGACTATTAGCCAAAAGGAAGAGAGTAAGGATCGGAAGAGGGCGTAAAGGTGGGTACCAGGGAGAATAAATGTGATCAAATATGTTCCATGCATGTCTGAAAACACCACATTGAAACCCAGTATTTTGTAAAAATTAATAGATACTAATGAAATATATTGTGAAAATTTCTTTCTCGGGGTAAAGATGCAAAGTGGAGGACATTCTTCTGCCTGCTGCAGTTTCCAGGGTGCAGAATCATTTTGGATGAGCTTCTTCAGGGCACAGTGTGGGGCTTTTAGTCATCAGGCCCAGCAGCTATGGCATTTTCTCATTACATTTATACAACATCGCAATTCAAGTCAGGGCTAAGAGGCTGTCCTTCCTAAAGAGTCATAGAAAGCCCAATGGGGAGAAGGCCGCTGTGGACTAACAGAACTCGTCAGTGCCTGCTTCAAAGGCACTTTCCAGGAATTTAATTTTATGAAACCATTTTAAATGTTTTTACAAACAAAACTTCGTTTAAGTACAGAGGACTGTAATACTGATTACGCCCAAGGCAGGCTGTGAAGAGCTAACCCCACCACTGGCTTGCTTATAGAAACGAGTCTGGCTGAAGCCTACGTGCCGAGGTCAGAGTAACTCAGACCCAAATTTCCATCCCCACAACTAAAACCTTCTGACTAGAAGGACACTGTTCCAATTACAATCACATATTTTGTCTATTCTGTTCCTAATTTGAGAATGTTTTGTCTTGTCCTTTATGGGCCTTGTTTACATTAATTTCCATAGAAACCACATGTCGCCTTTACCCCAATTGATTTCCAATAAAAGTCAGTGCCTGGGCCTGGCCAAGGCCTTTGTCAGTTGCACCTGCATTGGTCGGTTGGTCGTCCTGGCCCCTGCTTTCTCTCTCTTAGTTCCGCTCTTAGTGCATTCTTTTTCTCAGGACTGTGTCACTCACTGGGCAGGTGGGTACTGGAACCTTACTGCTGGGGTCTCCAATAACCTAATAAAAGTATTCTCTTTTGCTCCTTATGGCCTGCTGATGAACTCAAATTCAATATTCCTTCATGGATTTTAAATCTACTTCACTGAGGCTGAATAGTGTTTCAAAAGGTTAGCAAGCTGTGAAGTTGAAATGCGATTTGGAAAGCATTTACTTTAAACATTTTAGTGGCAGGAGAGAACAATCTTGACTAATATTTTAAGGATGTCCATTAATTGAAGCCCACCACAGGGTTGCTTGAATAGAGGAAGACCTAAATTCTGACAGAATTAATTATATTAATGAGCGTAGCAACAACAACCGGGACTTTATTACATTTAGCAGATTATGCTAGGTGTCTTGAGGATGTATAGAAGAAAAAGGTCAAGGGAAATATGTAGTTCATCCCTTTAGGAATAAAA